CTGGGATTTCTTGAGAGTCAGAAGGGAAGACCAAGAACTCTGATACGAGCCAAAAGCATGCTTCTGCTTAGTGCAATACCTCAACAAGCTGGACGCAGACATCGCTGAAGGACAGAATAGGCTCGTGGGATTAACTCCCACTGTTTTATATCAGGTTCTGTTCTCAGGATAGAGGCTGCATGACAATAAAAACATCAGTGCTGCTCAGGCAAACATAAATGTTAGAATATTCATACAGTATACTAAAATAAATAGCTAGACCCTAAGGACTAAGGCCATTTATGCAAGTTCTTAAAAAATTTAACTCCAGTTAGTGTTGACCTACATTAAATCCATGTCCCGTTTGCTGTTCTGCCAGTGCAATTTCCCTGATTCTCCACAATATTTATTATAACCAGTATGATAGACTGGGACTACATATACCTTAAAGCAGGAATTGTTGCTTCTTTGTGTGTTTTAACAGCTACAAATGGAGTCTCATTACTGATTACAGCTCCTGGAAAACTACTGGGAAGCTCGTATTTTAAGTTTTGTTGCATTTATCTACCAACAAAACGAGTTATATTTCCAAGACAAAAACTGTTTCTGTGGCTTGAAAATGGCAGATTCTATAACTAAGTCATCTTCAACACTGAGTTTCGAGCTAGTATTTAAGAATTACTGTTTTATTCCTCCTGATGATTACTTTTCAGTTAGAGCTTCACTTTTGAAGTATAATTAATATATGTTAACTGGTTTAAAGTGGATGAAATCAAATATGCATTTAGCAGCTTTATGCAGTTGTGTCATAACATAAGAACTCTGTGCATTTAACAAAAAATTGCTGACTTTACTGCATGCAGTTCAGTGTATCAAAGTGCTTACACTGAATTTCAAATATTCCATGTATAATCAACACCTGAATTTTTTTTATTGCAACATCAAAAAATGAAGCGTGATCCACAGACAATTCAAGTGCTGTATATTTGTGTCTGCTATCAAGCATGTACATTCACAATTGGCAAAACTTTAATACTAGGTTCACACTATATTGTCTGCAGCAGCTCAGACAATTTATTCCTTTTACCCAAAGTCAAATCCGAAATAGTCCCAATGGTGCCTCTCTCTTCACTGGAAGGCATTTTGTATTACTCACTGGCAGGTTTAGGTAAAGAGATGACTAACACCTTGTCCAAAAGCATGTTAAGTACTGAAGGCTGCTATTTGCTATAAACTTATGTCAAAGACTTTAAGAGATGAAATTTGGATACAACAGGAGTTCAATTGGTTTGAAGAAGGTTCAGGAATTTCAACTACTAGGTTGCACGTAACAGTCCTTAATGTACACATTCTTGAAGACAAAGGTGCATCTGTAGTTTGTGTACAGACCTGATACATCCCCCCCACCCACTGAAAGAAATACTATTTTCAAAACTACGTTCTCAAAGCTCAGGCAAAATCATAATCAACTGCTGCCCATGCAACTTTCCTTTAACACACTTCCACAAGGACAGTACAGAAGTACATTTGCTCTTCCATGAGAATGCATTTCTTCACCATATCATTCTCAACAGACCACACAGGCTCAGGGCAGCAGCTTCTGGGTATTTTTATTTTGGGGTGGCGGCCAGGTCACACTTTAACTGGCAGAAATGCTTGGGTTTCACAGTTTCTGTCACCACTGACGGCACTTACAGGTAGGTGCAAGAGAAGCCATAAGCAAACAGGAGCTACATACACATATTTGGGTTTAAACCACTCGCTCAGCATCGTACAGGAATAAGCAAAGTCAATTCTCATCTCTGTTTTCCTTTAGCTGAGTGTGTAATTTGCTACCCTCCTTTCACTTTTAACAAAAAACAGCCTTCAGGCACTAAACCACATTGGTTGAATCCCTGAGCACTGTTTATCATATGCACTAATCAAACAGGATTTCTGTATGGGAAAAGTGAACTAAAATTATCAAACTGCATATGCAAAAGGAGCTCAAATTTTGTTTAGGTAAACTTGTTTAAGGTATGCCTTAATTCCTAATTATTTTAACTGTAACCATAGCATCATTCAAGATATTATGAACACTGAAAGTTTACTTGGGCTCAAAAACCAACAGGGATACTTCACAGAAGGAAAATCCACGAGGGCCTGTTAAATAAAACACCAGCACCCCTGGCTTTGGATCTCTCTGAGCTGTGAATCATTAAAGGCTGGAAGAAGTATTTTGTGGAGGTATCACTACGCTTCTGTGTTGTTTTTCTACTCTTCTCAAGGCCTCTGCTATTGACCACCACTGGTGACAGGATACCAGCTACATTATCTTTGGTCTGACCCAGTATCACATCTCTCTCCAAATGGTATCAAGCAGAGTGGCAACGCTGGTAATATCTTGCCTTTTGGTAAGTGGTTTTCAACCAGCCCAACAATAAATGTGATTAAAAATGTCATACATAATCCTAACGATTTACGACATAAGAAATTCTGAAGGTTGACAGTATCCTCCCAATGTAAAAATGTGGGGGAACTTTTTAAGGATGTAAATCAAAGGATTTCTGAGTGTTATTTATCTAATTCACCTCCTTTATTTACTTTCTAACTACAAATAAACCTTACATATTTTTATTACAGTAATACCTAAAAGCCGTCATTAGGGTCTTGTTATACTAAAATCCTACATAAATACATGAAAGACATCATCTTTGCCTCAAAAGTACTTCTTGTAGGCCAAGATAAAGTAGATTAACAGCAAAATGGAGCACTCAATAACCTGAATTACTTGAGAGGTAGTTTGGAAAAGGTCATCTGAGTTCCACAATGATTTTGAGAAAAAAAGTGAATAAGCAAATAAGCGCAACTGATGGCTGAGTCCTCCTTTAAATGCCCCCAGTGTAACTAACTACCATCACTCAGAAATTGAATCCCCAAACAGCTTGATTCCATCAAATGGGTTTAGCACTTCATCTTGTCAGCGTATTTAAACAGCCCCCAGCATACAGTAACTCATTCTTCTGACCAAAACGAAAATACAAACAACTAAACATGTGGCCATCTTACATAATATTAGCTTTTTTTTTTTTTACACAACCAAGAGCTAAGAGCAGACAATTCAATCATTCAAATGCAAACCCAAACTGAAACAGAAAAACCCAAAAGCCAAGCAAAACCAAGTGTGCATGCCTACAACTAAAGAACATCAGAGAAATGCAATGTAAATATAAAAATTCTGACTCAATTTAGCAGTTAAACCCTCAAGATCTGCTTTACATGCGACATCCCACAGCAGTGAGTCTCAGTTTTCAAGGGGTATAAAATACTAATCTCTAGAAAGCAGCCCTTCATAACCTTAAATGTTAATTGTGGTGCGGCTTTAATCAGAGTGAACAAGTTTTAACAAGTAACTGAGAAAAATTGCAAGTTATAAAACATACCTTGGATTCAGTACAAGTCTACAGACTATAACATTTCTAACACTAGTCTTTTGACATGCTTAAGCCAGTGTAATAAAAAGTATCTCAATATTACAAAGAATTCCCTCCTACAAAAAACAAAACCCAAACACTACTCCTAGCCAGACACAAAGTATACGCTTTTGACATTTGATGCTGAAATGCAATTCAAATAAAAGAAAAAACAGACATCTCCATGTTAAAATGTCCAAAAAATTACTTTCAAGAAGACATTTTGAAAACCCACTAGCATTAGTCTTATGTTTAGGAATTGCTTTTTAAGAAAGGCAGAGGCTTGAGACTCTTTCCAGTCCATCTACTATCTCTGCCATTACCACTTACAAGTACCAGCCCAGTCCCAGCACTATTTAATCTATGTGCATCAGAAGTAATCCTTCTACCAACACGACTGAGGTTTGTCTATATATTTTGTATTAGCTGTGTCTAGTTTCCCAGGTTCACAGGCTCTTGCTAACATTAGCACTTATTTGTGCTAGTACATTAATGATATTTTTGAAACATCTCTTTCTTTAATAAAAGCAGAAAAGGGGATTTTTATTAACACTACTTGACACTGTAAGAGTCTCATGCTGTCGTGTACCTTTCTGGGAATTTCACTAATGTAAGCCCGAAGGATTTAGCAGAAGAGAAGGGAGCAGGCTAGGAACACACAGCCTTGAGAGAGCTCTGCTTGAGCTGCTGGGGAATTGCACTCGTACACACCTACGTTAGAATAAGACTTTCTGGAACGGTCTCCTTCAGTGGCTGTAAAGGAAGCCTGCACAGACTAGCTCAGACCTGAAATAAAATCTTTAGATTACTAAGGCTACCTGATGTCCTATCTGATGTAAGCATGTTGCCCATTGCACAAAAATATACTAATTGAAGGGCAATACTTTTATTTACTACTCTGAACTGTGTAAAAAAACCCTAAAACAAATGACTTACTACAGCAACTGCAGTTTGAGAAGCACCCTTAGAAATTTTAACCGTACTTAAAGACATTGTTGGACTAACATGTAACTGGTAGGTAATATCAGTGAACTAACCATTTTTGGCTCCTTCCAAAGAATTTACAAACCTTTCACAAGAAAGATTTTTTTCATTAGAAAAACTGAATAAAGTACAATACTAGAACACTATTTTTCTGACTGCTTAGTCTATGCAATTAAAATCAAATAACAAAAGATTTGGATATTTGCTACAAACTTTCCAATCAAGAGGAAAGAATTCAAACTAAAAGATACAGACAATGAACCTACAAAAAAGAGTTGAGAAATAAAAAAAAAAAAAATCTAAAATAACATTCTAAAGAACATTACATTTCTAAAGCTCTCCCTCACCATTTTTTTTCCCCCTTCATTTAAACAAAAAATTAATAATTTTTAATAATTTAAACTTTTGGTTGCAGCAGACAATTGTTCATGAAGTAATTTTTCAATTTTATGATATTCTACCCTAGAAATGTAACAAAAACGACTCCTTTTTATTTTTAATCTACCAATTTCTTGAAAAGTAAAACTGAAAAGCTGCAGTCATAAGTAATTTCTTAAGTGTTTCAAAGAAAGTGTTCACACTCACCAGTACTGCTTTCAGATTTTTCTTCTGGTTGGCTTTCTGGAAAAAAAACAAACGAACAAAAAAGGAAACGTAATGTTTCTGTGTTGATTATTTGAAATTACATCTAAAAAGTGGGTTGCAAAGCAAAGAATGATAAATTATCATAAAAATCAGAACCACTGGGTTTGATTAATGTTTATAAATCTACTTTCTGAAGAATAATTTGCCACGGGGAGCAATAAAAAAATACCTCCTTTAGTGCCCAAACTCACAACTTAAATGAGAGAACTCCATTACACCTCTGATTGAGCTCTGCAGGAATGAAGTTACACATTTATACAAAATCAGTAGTAGGATTATACTTAAGCAATGAATAGTATCCATTTATCTCACTAGTCACTCTAGACAAATGAGTATTATTTTTGTATATTTAAAAAAAAAAAAATCAAGGTTCTGCAAAAGAATGCTCTTAATTGGCATTAGCTAAAGTTTTGAACTTGATCAACCTCTTCTCTACCCCTTCTGCAGATCACACAAGGACTTATTTCTTCAATCTTTTCCCTTTCTGATCATTGGCCCTCAAATGGTACTATAGCCCAACTTGTTAGGTACAAAAAAGACACATAATCAGAGACATCTCCTGTTCCACAGAGCAGAGAATCAAAGTACGTATGAAGGAAAAACCTAGACACAAGCGGTGCAGACTGACTTGCCAAGAAATTATCACTTGGGTGAATGGCAGAGTCAGATTCAGAAACAGCTTTCTGCATGAAATTCCAATCCCACATTTGAAGAAATGGCAGCCGGCGGATGTATTTTGGTAAACTGAGTTCTAACACTTACCAAGTCCTATGAAATTAAACCCCTACATAAATTTGTCAACATGAAATTTGACTGCTCCTCCTATATTTCTCCTTTTTATGCATCTTCTAAGGTAGAGAATAAAAAGAACATTTTCACTTATCTGAAATACAGTTAAAAATGGTAAAATATACTTGTTCTTAGCTTTCAACTCAGACATGTCACAGCTATCATTACAGACTATTTACTTACAGGCAAGAGTGAATTACTGCTCTAACTCGAAGGGTAATTTTTGAGCTCAGTTAGTTTGATCATTTCTGCCATTTACAGGCTGGGTATTAACAGAACTGAAAACACAAAATATTTTACAAAACCTTTTTCTTGCCACTGATTCTTGCTGGCTTTCATGGCTGATGGCCCTGTTTACTCATTGAGATGGCTGACAGCCTGAGGACTAATGCAAATGGAAAAAGCAGTGCCTCACAGATCCTTCTTTCTTTACCAGTGGCTGTCCTCAGTCTTAGCAGCCGAAGGCATGTGCTTTCTCACTGAGAAAACATCATTATATGGCCTCTTCCCACCCATGAGCCTTCACAAAGCGAGTTAAGATCCCTGCCAACTTTCAGATATACATGCAAGATAGCCTGTTTGCTGAAAAACATGTATTTTCTCATTGACCTTTTTTTGTGTGTATTTAGCACATTTACAGCATAATGTTATTACCCAACCAATATCCTAACTCAGTTGTAACTTAATTAAGGAAACATTCAGTACACACACAAGAAGCAAAGAGGACATAATGAAGAACGTGCAAACATACTAAGATATCAACGCCTGCCTGGACTGAGATGTAAGCAGCAGCTAGATTTAAAGCTGTTTCTTTTTAACTCTGTTTCAATGAAAAGACTAGCTACCTAGCCAAAACTACTGCATAAGACACCACACTTAAAAGTTGTTAATGGCATCTCTGATTCAAATAACAATAAATGTATATCATGTCTACAGGGGGAGTGTGTGTGTTCGCTTGTATGTAGCAACAGAATCTGCCCTCAACAGCAGAGACAAAAAAAAAAACAGACAAAATTCAAGCCTTGCAAAAAAGTGGATTTTTTTTTTCTCATCATTAGACAACTTGTTTTTGTTATGATTAGGTCACAAGTCTCTGCTTCAAAAATCTTCTCAGTACTAATATCACGAAGAAGGTAAAGGAAGTTTTACTATGTCTACTCAATATATTTTATCAATGCAAACTACAGCTGCCGAGTCTCCTCCACAACATGCAAGATTCACAGATAAATGTCAACGGGTTGGGATTGGTTGGTTGGAGTTTTTTTGTTGTGTTTTTTTGGGGGGAGGAGGTTGGGGTGGTTTGGGGGGGGTAGTTTTGTTTTGGTTTTTTTACACATACATCAGTGAGACTGAAAAAAACAAAGAAATTTAAAGTTACTGAAGTAGGCAGAAAGCCAATTCTATTCCCATCACACTGAGCCCATTCTAACATCCCATATATTTTGTGCATTATATCCTCAATTGTTTAAATTTGTACAGGAATTAACAGTCTATAGTTTTAATAACAAAAATGAAAAGAAAATTAGGAGCTTACCCCTGCCAGCCAGCTGAACCCACTTTACAGTAATTTGTTAATCCTCACAACATTCATATGAACTAAGTAAATAAAGATCATTTCCATTTTTTAGAGATGGAGAAGAGAGATGATGTAAGCAGTCGCAGTTATTTTCTAAATGGACCGTTATGTCACAATAATACATACAAAATCTTGACCCATCAAAATGCTGTCTGTAATTAGACTAGCTTGAGTCACATATTCTGCTTTTCTGATCATGGGTTGCATCTTCTTTATGATCCTCACAAATATTTGGAAATTTGCATAAATGCTAGAGATCTGAAAGGCTGCCGTTGCTTCTATTTCTTTTGATCGTGAGGCTGCTGATAGGTCTTCCTCTTCTGCTAACAGCAGTCCATAAAAGATTGAAGTACATAAAGGAACAAAGAAGCATTAAGTAAGACCCCAAAGCATTTTGGAGACCGGAATGTGTGGTTAAGTGACAGCCTGAACAAATAGAGACAATTGGAAAGTACTGTTAAAGTAGGCAGGTATACATCAAAACTCCTCAGCAGGCAAAGCTAAGACGGCAGAATGATGAGGGAGGGCGTTTATTTCCTAAATAAGAGTTTGATGAAAAATTTGAGAAGTCAAACATTCATCTAGTAAGATTAGAAGTAGTATCACAAGGCATCAAGATTCTGAGCACTATGTATTTTACTGGAAATAATTAAATGTAATTATAGGAGTAACTGCTTTAATGAAAGAAAGAAACATCTTTCCAGGATTTTTATTAGTGTTTCTTCCCTTCACATTTCTTTAAATGGCTGGATATATCTGATATTTCAAAATACAAATATACAAAATACAGAATACAAACCTCTGAATATTCATTTTCACTGGAATACAATCACACATTGTAAGTTACATAGTAGGCGTGATTGATGTACAAACTCAGAAAAGGTCCTTTCATATATGAGAAGCTGTATAAAGGAAAAAAAAACACAACCCAAAACAAGGGAGAATATTCAAGGGGTGTGGTAATAAAGGAGCTGTTCTAAGGTATATAGGCAGTTATGTGTATTATTGAACAGGAATACAAAAAAATTGAATTTCACGAATTGAGATTCAGAAAGAAGAGAAGACTCGGAAAACTGGAGAAGAACGCAATGTTAAGAGCCAGCAATCTTCCGTGAAGCATGAAACAGTGAAACAATCCATGCATGAATGCTGCTCAGAAACAAAGGTCTGGTAGCCATTCTGTCAATGGAATTCTCTAAACACTTTTTACTTTCAGTAAGACGGAACGAGCATGAAGGAGTTTAAAGTCACTAAAATAGACATTAAGGCAATCCCACTTATGAAGGGGGAGTTATGAAGATATATTCAAAATTTCAATTAAATGAGTCATCTCACCTAACTTTGCAGAAATATCTTATACTTTATTTGTGCCTGCAGTGTAAAATGTTCTTCTCCACCCATCAGTCCTTTAGTTAGGGATGCAATTGCCTGCCAAGGTCTATGTTTTCCCAAGTCACATTAGTAGCACATTTTTCCAAGAACTAGCTCAATAAGAAACATTTATCATTAACTATAACATAGCTGTATTTTTTATTTCTATTTAGAGCCAGCAATCCTAAACTACCTACTGGCAGAAAAATTAAGCAACAGGCAATTAAAGCAGTAAGGGAATTAATTTATAATCACAATCAGAAAAGTTTGCTGTTAAATGTTTAACAAAAGCATGTTCCCACTCCTTCAACCAAGAAAGAAACGGTCAAATTATAGCACTTCCTTATGCCAGGGCGTCTGCCAGTAGGAAGCTCAGAAAAAAACAATTTTAACCAAACACACCCTATATCAAGCCCACGACCTGCCCCTAGATAGTTCTTAGCTATACACGTGTAAGAAAAATTCATTTTGTTCAATACAACACATTGAAATATATGCAAAATGCTCCTTTCCTCCCGCCCAAAAAATTACAGCTATGATAGCTGATGACAAAGATAAGATAAAATGACTGGAAGCACAAATAGTATTGTTGCATAGCAACTGTTGATGTACATATGGTGATGTTTATGGAACAGAATGTAGTTCATATTTAATGCAGAAATAATACTGAAACCAGCCTAGACAGCAAGAGACAACTGTGCTTTGGATCCCTCTGCAGCCATCACAGAAGCCACACTTCCCGCCAGCTTTGCTAAACCGATGTTCAGGAACACCACTGCAGGTCTTAGTGATTTGCCCAGCAATGAAGACGCAATGTCTCACATGTGCAAACAGCCTCGCAAAGGAAGTCAGGAGGTATTTTGCAACTAGTACTTTCGGAGTGCATTGTACTACTCTGTATTATTCATTAGAGCTATTTCAAAATACAGAAATAGGAAAAAAAAAGAAACAGGAGAAACCCCAGAGTTAGTCTAAACAGAAAGTACACCATGTGTGAAAGCCACCATAGACCAGATTTTTAATAGTAACTGGGATGGGATCCACTTTATCCAGCTTTGTATTAGAATAGAGTTTAATTTGTGTTTGAATTTATGTATTGGTTGTATCCAACACATAGAATAGAATAGAGCAGACCAGACCATTTCAGCTGGAAGGAACCTACAACGATCACCTAGTCCTACTGCCTGACCACTTCACAGCTGACCAAAAGTTAAAGCATGTTGGTAAGGGCATTGCCCAAATGTCTCTTAAACACTGACAGGCTTGGGACATTGACCACCTTTCTAGGAAGGCTGTTCCAGTGTTTGACCACCCTCCCAGTTAAGAAATGCTTCCTAATGTCCAGTCTAAACCTCCCCTGGCGCAGCTTTGAACCATTCCCACGCGTCCTATCACTGGATACCAGGGAGAAGAGCTCAGCACCTACCTCTCCGCTTCCCCTCCTCCCGAAGCTGCAGAGAGCAATGAGGTCGCCCCTCAGCCTCCTTTTCTCCAAACTAGACAAGCCCAAATTTTGTATTAGGTCAGATCTAGTACACACACTGCAGAAGACCTAGAAACTGCAATTCATTAGACTTTGGACATAATAAATGGCACCTCAGAAGACCCTACTGCTGTCCATTAACTAATATGGGACCACCAGAGACGCAGAGGTTTACAATGTAAGAACTAAAGGATTTCTTCCAACTACAACAGGTATTAGAAGCAAGTTTAGTTAAGACAAAACAAAACAAACCCCACAGAAAATCCATTCAGAAGTCTGGAAATTACATAATGCAGAAAATATTAAGTTACTTGTCAAGTTTGATCTCTTTTGCTTGCTCTAAGTGACCTGACGAGTCAATGTGAAGTGCTGAATTATCCAGAATATGTAAACTCCCTGCAGTATCTTCCAAGATTACAAAATATTTCAGAGGCAGCTTTGTCATTCCTCACTCATTTTCTGAAAGACCATCAGAAAGATGGTCACTACAACATAAGGAATGCAGGATTAGAGGACAGCACACAGAATAGATCTTAGGGCTTTTATGTGCTCCAGAAAAATAATAAAAATAAAATAAAAAAAAAAAGAACACACACAAAACCCCACAACAAAACTCACCCTTTATAAAAGAAACCCAACTGTTTTATGCAATTTGCTCCACTTTAGATAAGTTCAGTCCTCAAGAAGGGTATTGACTGAGAGCAATAGTGCATGACGCACTTTTTTATCCATATTTCATTTGCATAATTCCTCAAATGCATCCTTCCAGATGCAACATTAGAAATGCCATCTGCAGCTCCATAGCAGCTTAATCTTTGGCCCACGGTTCAAACCGGCATATGGATTCTGTTATATGGTGCACTTTGCAAAAGAAAAAGGAAAAAGATCACAAATGCTTTTCACAAAAAAATGCTAATTATAATTTGAAGACAAATATTGATCTGCAACCATAAGAATGAATTAAATTCAATTTCCTATGACTGTGTCTTATTGCAGACTGACAGATATGCAGAGATGTGTAAGCTTTTATTGAGTCTTTTTCCATGGTTGATACAATTATAGTGGTTTTTTCCACGTGAGCTTTCTGGCATCAAAATAGGGTAGCAGCCTTTCTTTCGGGTATCCATACAGTTTCGTTCCACTCTTCAGACACCTGTTTTCACACTAGCCATAATTCAGTATAAAATTTGTTGAAATTGGCCCTAGAGCTCAAAACATATTGGCAATATATATTCAAACACATAGAATCATAGAATAGTTTGGGTTGGAAGGGACCTCTAAAGGTCAGCTAGTCCAACCCCCCTGCCGTGGGCAGGGACATCTTCAACTAGATCAGGTTGCTCAGAGCCCCGTCCAACCTGACCTTGAAGGTTTCCAGGGATGGGGAATCCACCACCTCTCTGGGCAACCTGTGCCAGTGCTTCACCATGCTCACTGTAAAAAATTTCTTCCTTATATCTAGTCTAAATCTACCCTCTTTCAGTTTAAAGCCATTCCCCCTTAAAAAAAAAGGTCTCCCTGAAGCCTTCTCTTCTCTAGGCTGAACAACCCCAACTCTCTCAGTCTTTCTTCATAGGAGAGGTGTTCCATCCCCCTGATCGTTTTTGTGGCCCTCCTCTGGACCCACTCCAACAGGTCCATGTCTTTCCTGTGCTGAGGGCTCCAGAGCTGGACGCAGTACTCCAGGTGGGGTCTCACCAGAGCAGAGGAGAGGGGCAGAATCACCTCCCTCAACCTGCTGGCCACGCTGCTTTTGATGCAGCCCAGGATACAGTTGGCCTTCTGGGCTGTGAGCACACATTGCTGGCTCACGTCCAGCTTTTCATCCACCAGTACTCCCAAGTCCTTCTCAGCAGGGCTGCTCTCAATCCCTTCATTCAGCCATCATCCCATCAATTCAGCCTGTATTGATACCACGAGTGTGGCTGCAGGAACACGGTGTCTGTAAGAAATCTGCCTGGAATTTGGAATATTTGTGTCACATCCATCTTTACAACCAAAAAAAGTCATGCAAGAAAAGCACATTAAAGTTTATTTTTGATTGTACTGCCAATGCCAGCTTTAACAAAACAGCAACACGTTTTAGCCATTTTGCATTTAAGCAAGTTTCATGAAAACTCACTGACTGCATGTTATGCTTGCTAATTTCAAGCAAAAACAATTTTGACAGGGTCTATGCTTATTCAGTGCTTCACTCCAAATATTTCTCATTTCACGAACTACCCTTTGCTTCCGATTAGTATAATAACTGCTACTCAATAGATCCACGGTCCTTGAATAACATTTTGTAGTTATTAAGAAATGCCAAATTTTTAATTGAGTAAATAAAAATAGGACAGCTTCTAAGTACCTAAAGGTTTCAAGACACTGGTATTACAGATGGTAAAACGGAAATAAATGGGCATCTTCTAGCTATCACATTCTAATGACTTCCATTCTAACTGATGACAAATACTCCACATTCAAGTTAAGCATCTGCACTCATTGCAGCGTAAATTACCATTAGAGGTTTTTGAAGCAAGCATAAAAAGGTGTCTCGGGAAGCAAAATCCCATGGGATTTCCAGCAAACATGCAAAAATCACTGAATGCATATTCTAAACACATCTTCACATCTGAAATCTCTCTCTTCTGTCAAGCATTCTGAGGTCAAGGCACAGAGAAATGAAAAAGGATGAGGTACTACTAAAATGCTTACAACATTCTTGAAAACTTGCTCCCTGTCTCTTTCCACATTTGTAATCTATGGATTACAACACCTTAAAAATACTGGTTTTTATAAGTCACACGTGAAAATACAATTGTTTTTTTAAAGTGAAAAACCAGTATCATGACTACAGTAGTTTCAGAGAAAGGGATAATAACTGAAAAGTGCCCAAGTTGCACTGTAAGAGCTTGTACTTCTAAACACAACTGTGACAGTCAAGCTACTTGTACCTTAATATCTCAATGCACAGCCATTAAATCTTTAAATAGATTTTAAAAAGGAGGTGATCAAACTTGCTACGTATTCTAACTCCGTCCTGTGAGTTACAATTCTCCCTCCCTCATTTATTCGATAAAGCATCACACTGCCATCACAGCAATTACTTGCCAGCCTTTGAACATCAAAACGTGAGAAGCTGGTCACACTGTAATTTTCTGCCCCACAGAAGGCAGAGGTATCAAAAAAATATTACTATTGTTTGTCTTCTGGGGACACCAAAACCTAAGTGCCTGAAACTGACGTACCTTCTGCAGACAATGAGATATGCTCTGCAGACACCTTCCTTCTCTCTCCAACATCCAGAACATGACTATGTAATCTCAGTAGAAAACCTTACAGCACATGGGAGTTACATGCAAGGCAGTCTGCTGACCTTACTGTACAGTGTAACACTACCATGTACCTTAAGTCTAACATGCAATTTAGGACATATGATCTTGAATATCCTAATCACTCATACAGCTACTGAGCTTAAGGCAGGCCAAACAGCTGAAATCCAGTGAGAAAAATTATAACCTTACGGCTGCCCTGTTTGGTATTATGACCTTATTAAGCTTTAATACACTTAAACCATATATACTTCAAGAAAATGTGGTGAACAGATGTGTTTATTGCTAAAATGGATCTGTTCAACTGGACAGAGGAAGAATCAGCATTCTTATAAAACTATATTCACAGCAGAGACCAATTCAAGGAGGAAAAAAAAAATATTAGTTGATCCCAAAAGTCCGTGGGACCATAAGAACATTTTTTCCAGTGAGAAGCCTAAAAAGGAACATACAAGGTACCGCACTCCACAATCTCTCTGTTCTCTTCAGCAGACCCACAGCTGAAATGTACATAATAACCCTATGTGGAGAACTCAAATTAGTTGCTCGCTCATATGAAGAAGAGAGACAGGCACAAAAAAAGAACAACAGTGATATGTATGCAGATAACAACAAAAGAGAGACAAAATCTGCCTTCTGAGTCTACTGGCCTTTACAGCAGCCAGTTTATTGAAATCATGTATACTGGAATCGTAACAAATAACTTTAATTCTAACTTACCTACTGAACTTTCTGTGAACACTGTTAAGGTCTGTCCTCCCACACTTTGCAAAAGAAATGGATGTTCCCTTGGTGCACTGACTGAAGCAGGTTTTCCTCCAATATCATTGATGCTTGCAAGCTCTTCATTCAAAGTAAATGACACCTAACAGTCACAATTACCACAGTGTTACTAAACAGACTCAATTACACATCTTTAAGAGTTATGGGGAAACAAAAACAGATGAAAAAACCAAGTAGTATAGCACATTTCCATTTCAAAAACATAAAGAGTGGGGCAAGAGTCTTAATGTATTGATCTCTTGTTGAAATACAGAATTCAAAGCTTTCATGTACTTAGTAAGATTTACTCATCTTTTAAAAAATTGTAAATTACTTCCTCGTGAAGTCAGAGAACAATTTGATTTTACTTATTAAAGTGTAAGGCATAATAGGTTTTCAGACATTGTTCAGTATGGGTGCTTTAAAATGTTTCACACAGACAGCTGAGTTCCAGAAAAAGTGCTGCTGTACCACAAGTGTTATTAGCCTGGGGACTCCTGAATTGCATGCAGCCCAGGAGAGGTTCAAATACAGCTCCTTTGCTATGTTTACATTGTATGCCCAATACAGGAGCTGAGGAGGTACTGGGGGGACTGGGTAGCCAGAATCCCTAGTCACAGGACACAGCAAGAAACCTGAGAAGGGACTGTTCAGACCTGTGCTGCATTCTTTCCCTGTATGTCCTGCTTAGCCTCATTCTGCCATGCAGCAACAGGGTCCCCGGGAAGCCACCCATTCTCATGGGGTTCCTCACCACTTGGCTCTACACAGACTGCAAAATGCGCTTTGTGGCTCTCATCAATACCAAGATTTTGGCGTGGGGCTCACAAAATTAGGGAGGTTGGCTCGTATTCCAGCCTAGAAGAGTCCAATCAAACATCCAAACCTCCAGTAGAACTCTCTCCACTTATTCTAAAAGGAGTTTGGCCAGGTTATCAAATGACAAATGCAGCCTGCTTCCCTGACATTTTTTCGTCCAGAGTGTCTTCCAATTCAGTGACAGACCTACATGGTATTTGAAGTAATTCTAACTAATGCAACTTTCCTTATCTCTTGTAAAAGACACAGGAAGTTAACCATCATTCACTGAGGTTGCTATAATAAATGCATTTACCTTTGCATACAGAAAAACCTTCAAGTTGCTTTAGATTTAGTAGGACCAAATTCCGAATTTAAGACAAAATACTTTCTGAAATTGCAACCCTCCATCTCCAGCTCCTTTCGCTTTATCATCATCCTCCTTAGTTCTCAGGCAGCCTTTTGCACTAACGTCTCAAAATGTTTAGAAAGAAGGCCGCTACTACCATTGCTGCTTACAGATGCATAAATAAACTTCAGGAACAAAGAGACTTGATGAAAGTCCCACAGTAAACCTATGGGCAGAAGCTACAAACAGAATTCTTTCCTCCTGATTCTGCGGTACAATGCTTCATTACAGGTATAACAAAAAATATATGACATTAGAAACCAGCATGTTCTACACAATTTTTAGAGTTTAAAATATAAGACATTTACAGCCTTTGTATTTAGTAATTACTTACTTCTGTTCTTCCTTGATTTCTGCAAAAGAAAATATTTAATGTTTTAGTTTCCATAATCTAATTCCACAAGTTTAGCTTCCCTGATAAAAAAGCAAATTAAAATTCTAGTTCTGTTACTCATCTTCACTCCTGAGCTGCTCAATTTTTTTTTTTTATGCTGATGCCCAAAAATAAATGGGAAAAGTCAGCAGGTGAGAACAGAAGCAGCAAAATAGCACATAAGTAAGTTAAAGAACATTATCCAGTTAGATGTGCATATTTCTTGGGTTTAAGAAATCAAACATCATGTAGTGGTACACAGCCACACCCTAGTATAATTTCATATCATTCATGTATTGATAATCACTATACAAGCAAGTACTTTTCAGGTTTCAGAGAAATATGCACAGTGTTTGCAAGAAACAGGATTATCTATTAAAAGAGGTGCAACATAATCTATTTTACTGCAGGTAACTTCTAAGAATTGCAACGAATAAAGGTACAGTAAAGGCTTACTTGGCAATCCTTAGTTTTCCCACTTCACCCCTTCCTGAAGCTTTATTCCACTGTTGTGACAAGTATTTGGGGACCTAAAAAAAGAAGACACATTTAAAGAAAAGCAGATTTAAAAATTCTATATAAATTGTGTACGTGTATATACTTTAAATGCATTTACCCTAACCACTTCAGAATACAGTACGATCTAAATATAATAGACAATATATTCTATTAAGGAGAGCAAAGTGAACAATGTAGCACAAAAATAAGGCCAGTGGAGAGTCCCAAATTTCCCAAATGAGGGAAAAATCTTATAATACCTTTAATCTCAAATACTATTATCCAATCATGAAAGGCAAACAAAGATCAGCATCGTATTCTTAAACTAAGGAGTCCAAATAATTTTATCAAGTAATACTACACTTTTAAATATTCATCAGAAATTCTTATCTGTCTACGAAGAAAAAAAAAAAACCCTCAAAAAACCCAATGATGAGAAGTTAGGCAATAACAGCTCAGAGACCAAAAGGTGGTGTGAAGGGAAGGCTTAGAGTTTGGGAACCTCAGGCACATTCAGCAGCAAACCGTAGCCCTACTCCCACCAGATGTCCGCTTCTTCAACAGCAGAACTCCCCTATGCAGATCTGCCTCCCATCACTCATTCCCACCCTTCCACTCTACCACGAAAGGTGTCTGTGCAGCTGGTCAGCATATGGAAAAAGCAAACTGATCTGGCTGCGAGGTGTGGGGGACTTCTACATTTTAGCTGTGCTGAGTTTATATTTAGCATGTGGAACAACCAAACCAGGTTCCCAACCCATTTCCCTGAACAACTGCACAAAGCAAAGGTCAGTGCAGGGTCAGGAACAAGCAGCCCTGCTTAACCTGATACATCCAAGGAATAAAAGCTGCTCCAGTGATGCTGACTCACCTACACACACATTCCTTCAGTTACAACAGTTTTGGTATCTGCAACCTCAGGTGGCCTGGGCTTACGATGGACAGTAAAGGCACCTACGTAACCAACCAACAAGGTGGAAGCTGGCTTTCCAAGCAGACCCATTTTTCCTCTTTTCCCATCAATGTAGCTGAAATCACAGCCTGCCTCTCTACTCTCTGGCCAAAAAAGTACCAACTAACTACTGCTGGGTAAACTAGACCCCAACAGCTGGCACTTCCATGGCCAGCCTCAAAGAACT